GAGGAGTAGAAGGACTGCTGAGATGGGCCTTGAAGCCTAGGGCATGGGCACGGGCAGAGCAGCTGCAAGTACAGATCTTGGTGAGGAATTTACCTAACCCAGCAGATATTGCAGGCAGGCCTAACAGCCACTGGATGGCATGGCTTCTCTGCCCGAAGGGCACATTGGATTCAATCATGGAATTCTGGCCAAGGCAGTCAGTAACTATTCTTGTTCTGTTTATGCAAACAATCAGGCCAAATTCAAAGCAATAGATACATTGGTCTTAATTTGTCTATTTAGTAAAATTATGAGTGATTTTGAGAAAAAAATCTATTTCAATAAGAAATTAGAACTGAAATGTGTTTTTTTTCCCCCTTCCACCAGACTATTTATTGTAACTCTTGCTGTCCTAATTGCTCAATAATACTAAATTTTATAGCACAGTTTGTCTCCATCAGGTCACAAGCCACCTCCTTCTATGCTCAGGCCTCATCGTCCCTCTGACAGAGAGCAAGGATCTCTTGGCTCTGAAAGAAAACTTTGCCCCTCCTCAGCATGGCAGCAGTTAGAGGAGCCCACTGATGCCCACTTTCCCTGAAATAATTCAGAGCCAAGATACTTGAGGAGATGTGTTAGGCAGTTAGACAGACATGAGCAGAGCAAGGACAATGGGCCAACTGGAGGAGAGATGGGATCATGAGATACGCTTCTCACTACGCCAATAGCTCTGAAGGCAGAAATGAAGAAACCTGTGTAGATTCTCTATTCCTTTTTCTAAGAGAGCCAACAGGTTTTAGAATAATTAATAATCAGTAAGTCCTGAAGCCCCCGATGTTACTGCAGACCAGATCTCTAGACTGCCATTACAAATCTGTTGGGTGATGAAGATGAAAAAGGCTCCAGCTGCTGAACGCCCTACTCCCTAGCTTTGAGTCTTCAATTGAATCTAAAAAGCTGAAAATCAGCTTGAGGACCAAGAGGAGGGAATGAGGAGGAATATATCTTGGCCCAACAGGGGTCTGGCCTAGAGTACTTTCCCATTTGATCTTTTAGTCTAAATAAAATTTGGAAGGCCCTTCTTCTTTGCCTTGCTGAATATGGAAGACTTTATTGAGGTTCTGATACCAGGGAGCTGCTTCCTCAACCCCTTTAATTATTAGTCCCCTGAGAGGTCTCTCATGTGTCCCTATGGGTCTTGTTAAGGTCCCACTGGAGCTCCCAGGTTTGAAATTTTATATTTACTGAAGCACACCAGGGTCAGCCAGGTGCTCCCTGTCCCAGATAGCCATAGCCAGCCCTCAACTAACTCCCCCTTCTTTTCCTGAGAATAGTATTCCCAACATAGACATTAACTTGGGTCTACGTATATACTTGTGGGCCCAAAAATGGGCCCAGCTGGTCATCTAAGCCACATGGGTCTTCCAGGAGAGGTTTTAACTCTTTTTTCCCACTGCTCCAACTCCTTTTACAACCAGAAAAGCTGGTTTAGGTGGCACAGAGGCCTTGGATGAGGGAGAGGCTGGGATTGTAAATCACCGTCTTGGCTGTTCCCTCAGATTGTCTCCTCGTCAAATAGGGAAGAGAAGGCAGGACAAGGGATCTCATTTCTCTGTGTGCCCATGTTCTCTTTTAGGCTTCTCTGCTTTTACAGGGAGAAGGATGACTGGCCCCTTCCTCCAACAGAGAGCACAGTCAATCTATTGAGTGACTGGACTTTTATTATTAACATATTTATAATTACTGAAAAGCTTTATCACAAATCCTTCGTTTTAGTTACATCTATTTATTATATCTTAACAACTTGGAAATTTTAAACCCAATTATTACCAAAAGCATTTTCTTGACCAGTTTTGTAACAGGGAGTAACTCAGTGTGAAAATACCATTGTATTTTATTTTCCTTATAAAACCAGGAGTGGCCCTGCTTTGAGCCAGAGGGTACTTCTACAGATCTGTTCCTCCCAGTGTTGGGGAAAAACAGAACATTGGGAACCAATTACAGTTATGGGAAACATTATTTATGCTGTTAAACATGATTGCCCTTTCTGTTCAAAGAAAGGACGTACTAATCTGCCCAGGAGTCATGCCCCCAGGACCTGGGAATCATCCATGAAATGTGGTACATCCTCATTCGAGAACTGCCCATTATCATGAAAGCATTAAACTTGTTGCCCAACCCAGCCTGCAGAGCTTATTTCCTTATGTAATTTAAAGTATATTGTATTGGTCTAATTTAGTTCAAAAATATTTCTTTTTAGGGAAAGAGAGTAGATCTTTGTGTCATCTCAGGGCCCTTTAGATGTCACAAAGTTATCTGTCACATAAATACCCAATTTAAAGATTATCAAAACTTAAACTGATTTTAACATTAAAAATTTGGTCTTGACCACAGAATTAATCTTTAAAAATATGGCTAATGTTATATTCTAGTAATTAATCTTTTTTAACATGGCTAATGTTATATTCTAATAATGCTACAGAAGTACAGAATATACTTTGAATGTTATAGAGAAAACGCTGGGAAGACACACCTACTGCCCTCCCAATCCTTTGCTGCCTTTCCCCCAAGGGTGCAGAAGTGGTAAAGCTGTGACGTCCTCATAGTGACCTCCCCTAAGTTCCATTTCAGCCAGCCTGGGCAGATTTGTGACGTCACAGGCAGGCACAAAATTACCTATTGGTCTGGCTTTTGTTTAAACTTCCTTGGGTTAACATATATGCAGCCTTCACAAATTTTACACTTTCAAATTAGAATCTTAAAACTTTAATGCAGCACAGCATAATGACCTTTGGTTCTGAGTGGCACAAAGCCTACACAGAGAGTTCCCTATATTCATAAACGAGGGAAGAGCAAACTAAAGTCCCTAAAAATTAGAAAGCCAAAATTACATTGTAGATATACAGGGGTCTCACCAAGAATAAGGATTTTTGACAGCTGCTGGGACATTCTTCAATCTCTGTCACGTGTTCAGCCTCACCACATACAACTGGGCTTCCCCCAAACCGGACTTGCCCCATCTTTAAACAAACAACAAAGAGAGATAAAATATCAACAAACACTAAAAGTTCATATCAAGAGCAATGTCTTCTGTCCCTGGTTCAGGAACTACCTTTCCCCAGAATCTCAGCATTCTCCCCAATAGACTATTTTGGGAGACTGTATCTCCTAGGCCAGGAATTTATTTCCTAACCTCTGCCATAAGCTGGGGCCCCTGATTTCACAGAAAGGAATCTGCATTGCAGGATCGATCTGGGCCCTTCTTAAAATTCTTTAGCATACATTCTAAGATAATGGGTTTAGAGAAACTACTTCCCATGTTTGAAGTTAAACCATGTAAACCCCCCCAGTTAACACAAGGTAACTCATTTCATGCAGATTCTTACATTCACGTTCACAAACCAGTCAGTCCAAGCTTTGAGTTCCACCCACGGAAAGTCCTTGAATTGAGGCAAATATTTTGGGTAAGTGGTGATCAGCCACTTCTTCTGTCCCGAATGACAAGCCTGAACTTGAACTGGTCCCCTGGGGGAAACTCACTGGTCAGATGTCTGGTTCCAGAAAGGGCTTTCCTGTCCTCCGTGGAGTACACTGGGTCTCGAGTGGGGGTCCAGGTCACTCAGGCCCGATGAGGACTGGGACCCAGTAAGTCACTGGAGACGCACCTCCCCATCATCAGGGGCTCAGTTGAGTGGGCCCACCCGCTGGTCTTGTGCAGCGGTGCCTCAAAGGGGCAACTTGGCTGTGTGTTTCTTGGTCAGGGAACAAAATTATGTTGCAGAATTTACCAGGCCACTGGGAATACACTACAAGTGCTTGGACATGCAGGAAAAACCCTTATTTAAAGCAGAGATGCTGGCTCAGGCTATTCCAAGATCCAAAGCCTGAACAATTGATACAATGAGATTACTATATATATATATATATATATATATATATATATATTCCTAAATTCTTTGTTTCCTTACTTTCAGGCTTTTGCAGCCCTACCTAGTAAGTTAGAATTTGGAAGTAAGATTACAGCTGAAGGCCTGGCCTGGGTGGTGCTAGTGACCTCCCCTCTGGCTAAGCTGTTAAATTCTTCGTTTGTGGCCCTTGTAAACTGGGAGCATTTAGGAAAATAGATTATCGCCTAAGGAAGGGGCAGTGACTTAATTATAGGCTAACCAGAATGTGGGCTAGGACACCAGTCACTGGCACAGACTCAATTGCTACCCCCCCACCCCCAGATTGCCCCCTATATTTCTCCTTATTGAGACAGGAAAACTCCAGTCATATCTAGCATAACATCAGTTCATAGTCTTATGGTTCTAATTTGGCTCCAGGGGGCTTCCCTTACAAATTCTTACAAGTTTAGCTATACATATAAAAGGATGCTTCTTTATATTGTAGGATCCTTCTTTATATAAATTATATATTTTGTTTATTTCTTTATTGACTAAATTTAATGAGGGCAAGACTGGTGCCCACCAAGTTTGCTATAGGTTCCTAAACATCTAGTTCCTGATATATATCAGACACTTAATAAATGTGGAATGAATGAAATGCTGTTCAGTATAGACTTATTTATAATAGTGACAAACTGAAATGAATCTAAATGCCTAATAGTAATAAAATACTGAAGTAAATGTTTATATTTACCTAAAAGTAAATGGCTATAGCTCATATAATTTTTTTAAGCAAAAAACGATGATTTGGAGGACTGTGTTATAGACAGAAAATTATTAAAGATTATGTGTAGGTGAAAAAATTGGATTCAATTTTTTAAATTTATAGTATGGTAACTTTAAAATATTATAACACTGGATATGAAAAATATGGAAAAACATTGAATAATGAACACCAAAATGCTAATAGTAGCTTATATTGGAGTGGTGGATTGAGGATCCCTTTTTACCCTTTATTCTTTAAACTTCCTATAATGTGGCTTTAGGAAGATACTAAAAAGAAAAATGTTTATTAGTGTTCTTTAAGTTTTTAGATTTAAATACACTAAGAGGTTGATAATAAAATGTTTACAGAGTTTTATATGAAAATACAGAAAAAGACCTTTCTGATACTCAGCGGCACCTTGCTAAGAAAAAATATGAACTTCAGCTTACTCAGGAGAAAATTATGTGCTTGGATGAAAAAATTGGTGAGTTATTTTTTTCCTGATACTACTTTCTTTACATCTGCTAGAAAAAAGCTTTCTTCTCTCAGTTATAACAAGATAAACTTGGAGATGGGCCCTTCAATTAAAAGTTTATGATTCCGATCATGGAAATATGTTTTTCTTTTGATAGTAAACTTTTTACTTAGATCTAGGACCATAAATACTTAGACATGGCTTCAGATTTTTCAGTGAAGTAATTACAAATTTTTATGTGATATTAAGCTATTGTAATGAAATGAAGTTCACATATATATTACTATCATTAGAAAGTGTTCATATATTTGGCTATATCTATGATATTTCTTGGATTTATAGAGAAAATTATTTTTATAAAGTCTCCTATTTATGTTAGTTGCCAGTGATCTCTATGAAAATATGGTCATAATTTACTCATTTTTAAACTGTAAGGTAAAACTTCTATTTTATTTTATACTAGAGGCCTGTTACACAAAATTCATGCATTGGGGGGTGCGGTCCCTCAGCCCAGCCTGCACCCTCTCCAATGTGGAACCCCTTGAGGGATGTACTACTGCTCATTTAGGCCTGATCCCTCTGGGCAGTCAGACACCCCTCTCACAGTCCAGGACTGCTGGCCTCCAACCGCTCGCTCGCCTGCCTGCCTGATTGCCCCTAACTACTTTTGCCTGCAAGCCTGATCACCCCCTAACCACTCCCCTGCCAGCCTGATCGATGTCTAACTGCTCCCTTGCTGGCCTGATTACCCCTCACTGCCCCCTCTGCTGGTCTGTATTCCCCCCAACTGCCCTTCCCTGCAGGCCTGGTCTCTCCCAATTGCCTTCCTCTGCTGGTCATCTTTTGGTGGCCATCTTTGACTTCATGGGGGCAGCCATTTTATGTGTTGGAGTGATGGTCAATTTGCATATTATCTATTTATTATATAGGATATTTTATTGATTTTTTACATATTGGAAGAGAGAGGGAGAGAGAGAAACATCAATGAGAGAGAAACATTAATAGGCTGCCTCCTGAACAGCCCCTACTGGGGATGTGCCTGCAACTAAAGTACATGCCCTTGACTGGAATCAAACCTAGGACCCTTGAGTCTGCAGGCCAACACTATCCACTGAGGCAGGGCTGTAAAGTAAAATTTTGATTAGGAGTAGAGCAGAGCTCATTTTTAAACAGAGGGAATATTGTTAACATTAGCTGTAATAGAGTTTTGAACTACAATTGAATGTTTACTTAATTGAATATTTTATTAAGATCTGTTACCAACTTATATGCAACAATGATTCTAGTTTAGAGAGAGGGAAAATTGGGGAAGGGGGTAATGGTGGTTTCATTATTCCACCCAACTTCATCCACCTATAGTCTGCCCCACAAAAATGTGTTAATTATACTTTTACATTTATGAGTCATTTAGGTGCTTTATATTGAGATGGGAAATACTAAAAGGTAAATATTAAAGGACATATTGAAGAACTCATTTTGAATATTGTAAGTGCAAGTAAAAATGTAAGGTAAACTGTTAAATAGATAAGTTTTTACCTCAGAAGTTAAAACCTAAGCTAAAGATATACATTTGAGACATATTGGCATATAAATGATATTAAAACCATGAAATCGCCTAGAGAAAATATAGAGAATGAGGAGAAGAGGATCCAGGACTAAGAAACCAAAGAATTAGGAAGAAAACCTATAAGTGAGGTATTTTTGTTGTTGTTTGTTTTGTTTTGTTTTGTCTTATTTTTTGAGGAGGCAAGCGAGCAAAATGTTTTAAGAAGGAGGGTAGAATCAAATATCAGATACTTTCAAGAACCTAAGTAAGATTAAGATGAAGAAATGTTGATTGGATTTAGTACTTTGAAGGTTTGGGAAACAATGACCAAGTTTGGATAGAGTGTTGGATGTGGAAAATGAAATAGTTGAGGAATGACTGGGCAGTGAGAAAGTAGAGACAGGAGAGAATAGAAGTCTGTTAAGAAGTTTGGCTACCAACTCTAGCAGAGCTTCCCTAGTAAAGCCCTAGACCAGAGGTTCTCAGACTGGGTGTGGTCAGAATCTGCTGGAGGGCTAGTGCAGACCACTGGGGCCAGCTCCTGGGGTAGCAGATGGCCAAGGCATGTGTGTCTTTTCCAGTTTGCTCAGGCGGTTCTCAAGCTGTTGTGCATTAGAGTCACATGGGAGGGCTGCTTGTTAAGACATAATTGCTCTGCCCCGTCAGGGTTTCTAATTCAGTAGGCTGGGGTTCCCAGGTGATGCTGATGGTGCTGGCTGAGACCACAGTTTGGGAATATAGCAGCCATTAGGCCTTCAGCATTGACATTGGCTTGTCAGTGTTTTCACAATCAACTCAGACGTCCTGGGATGGTTTTTTTTTTCCCTAGGAATTTTTAGGAAAAATTTAGAGAGATCAGAGTAGTAGAAGACATTTGTCTCTGAACATGATTTAATTAAATATTTTATTAAAATCTGTTACCAACTTATATGCAACAATGATTCTAGTTTAGAGAGAGGGAAAATTAGGGAAGGGGATAATGGTGGTTTCATTATTCCACCCAACTTCATCCACCTACAGTCTACCCCCCCCCCCAAAATGTGTTATTCTTTTACATTTATGAGTCATTTAGAATTTCATGATTCATCTTAGTTTTTAATCACTAACAACAAAAGCCATGCTTTTATTTGGGATACTATACTTAATTTTAGGCATTGAATGTAATATAGGAAAAATTACTTTGAAAAGTATTTCAATACACTTGAAATGGAAAAATTTATCTTGACTAAAAATGCCTTTATGTTACATATTTAGATAATTTTACAAGGCAAAGTATTGCCCAGCGAGAAGAAATCAGCATCCTTGGTGCAACTCTCAATGATCTGGTTAAAGAAAAGGAATGCCTGCAAGCATGCTTGGATAAAAAGTCTGAGAATATCGCATCCCTTGGAGAGAGTTTGGCAATGAAAGTATGTTCTGAAAACTGTGGTTTAAAAGAAGTGTTTGCACTGGAAGCTGAATAAAATAATAGGATTCTCTCAAATTTTTTTCTAGAGAGCTGAAACTTTAAAATGTGATTTTGAAATATTTCAGTATAGTCTTAAAAATGTGTTCTTTCTCTCATCACTGTGCAGTTAACATGCTGACAACTAATTCAAATATCCAATATTCAAATGAAAAAGAAAGCAGTGAGATTGATTTCTTTTTAAAAGCATACCAGAACTTATATCTCCAGGAAGCCACTGTGGGAGGCAATATGTTTATTCCATTAAAATTGCCTTTGTAATTGTGTTCAGAACTAGATTCAGGTTTTTACATCATGCTTAGCCATTGAGACTAGACCATATGGAGTTGGTAAGTAAAGCTGGGTGATAATCTCCCTTCCTCATTTTTTACTGTTCAAACAACAATATAAAAGCTGTAGCCAAAATGGCAGGAAAATATTCATACCCTCTTTTTTTTTTTTTTTTTTTGCTTGTAAAGTGGTTCTGAAGGCAGTTCCAAAACTATTTCACACAGATGTCATAAGCAAAGCAGCATCATTGAAATAAGGCCTTGTCTCTCTCTAAGGGAACCAATTCATTCATTTATCTATTCACCCATAAAACAAACATTTATTGACAAGTACCAGGTATATTATGTTAGAAGTAAGGAGGAGTGAACACGCCTTCCAAAGCCTGCAGTATAATTGGGAAACAGATAAGTAAAGGTACTTTATGATAGAATGTGCTGTGTATGCACAATGTGCAGTCTGGCAGACGCACAGTTGACTTAACTGTGGGTTGAATTAGGAGAGGAGAAGATCTAGAAAGCTTTCCAGGAGATGATAGAACCTGGACTGCCCTGAAAATTGACTAGGAACCAGCCAGGAAGAGACTTAGAGAAAGGCTAAGTGAGAGGAAGGGTGATTCAGACAGACAGATATCTATTAGAGAAAGGGAACCCAGATGGGTAGAGCAACTTAGGAGAGCCCAGTGGCATTCACCAGAGAGTGTCACAGGGTTTCTTGATAGTTTATAATGCCAGAGCATAGAGTGCAGAGAGGTAAGCATGGGGTAGGGTAGGTGGCAAAAAAAATGAGATGGATAGGTAAGCAACAAATTTAAAAATGTAATGTTGAGTGTAGAATATCATCATCGATACAGTGAATCAATGAAAGCATGTAAACAAAGCATTATAATTAAATTCTTATTTAAAAGAAACATTCTGGAGAGGGACACATGAATAAATGGAGATGACATATACCATGCACATGCACACACGACTAAACCATCCTGATGAACAGGAACTGAACTGGTTGGAAATATTGGTTTAGGTTTTCAACTTGATGCCTTGATTACTTAGAATTTCCAACTTCAAAGGACAAAGTGAAATCTACCATTTCCCCAAAAATAAGACAGTGTCTTATATTAATTTTTTCTCCCAAAGTTGCACTAGGTCTTATTTTCAGGGGATGTCTTATCTTTCCATGCGCTAGGTCTTATTTTTGGAGGATGTCTTATTTTCAGGAAAACATGGTAGTTATTTAGTGAAAGAACAGGACTAATGTTAGCCAAAGTGTCTGTGAATAGTATCTTTAACCATTTCACCATCAACAAGCATTTTCAAAGGAGGAAGTGTGGGAATAGTATTGATGGCATGAAGATAAGCACACCTATTTCAGCTTTGACTGACTCCTGAATCTCCCTCACCACACCCTTGAAAAGGGAGAAGAATATCAGTAGTTTATTTTATTCACTTTTTACTCTAGGTCTAATATTTACCTCCTTATTTAATTGACACCTAACTAAAAATATACTTTTATAAGTAACTCCATTTTAACAGCTTTTGGAAGATGTTATTGATGACTTTTAAGAAATTTAAGTATAATATAAATAATATACTTCAAGTTATTAAAAAAAAAAAAAATATATATATATATATATATATATATATATATATATATATTTCAGAGAGGAAGGGAGAGTGAAAGAGAGATAGAAACATCAATGATGAGAGAGAATCATTGATTGGTTGCCTCCTGCACTCCTCACACTGGAGATGGAGCCCACACCTAGGCATGTACCTTTGACCCTTCAGTCCGAAGGCTAATGCTCTATCCACTGAGCAACCTGGGTAGGGCTAAAGTTATTTTTAATATTCACTTTCCTGGGTTTTATAACGTGTCCTGAGGAAGTGAATCCGTCTACTCCCCATGGAGAACGCCCTGGTGCAAACAACTGGTCTGCCTCCAGGTACAGAGCCCTCTGGAGGCTCTGTTGTTGGGGGACAGCACAAAGCCTAACAGAGCATTTGACACATTGATCTCATATCAATACACCCAAGTGTAGTCTTAATGAACATAATTGATTGTTTTTGTCTAGTACAAATATTGGCATTGATATATCGGGTCTAGTAATAATTAATGTCGTTTTTAAACATTTGTTTAAAATCTTGCTTGGCGTTGACTTGTATTGACATAACCTTCAAACACGTGGTATCTACAGAACGTGTGAAGTGCAATTAACAAGTTTTGCTTGAAAAAGTTTGCGTTTGGTTTGGTTTTTGTTGCAAAACTAGGGCTAAGAAGATGGCGGATGAAGAGCATATTCGGCACTGCATGCTTTACGAGTTCCAATTAGGAAGAAAAGCAAGTGAGGCTGCAAAAAACATCTGTAGTGCTCTTGGTCAAGATGCAGTTAGCGCCAGAAAATGCCAGCGTTGGTTTGAGAAATTTCGCAAGGGAAATTTTTCGTTAGATGACAAGAGTGGTCGAGGCTGTGTGTCCAATTTTGATCAAGAAGCTCTTCAAGCTCTTTTGGTGCAAAATCCTCAAATTACCCAACAAGAGCTTGCGACAACTTTAAATTGTTCACAAAAAACAATTTCCAATCAATTGCGTGCACTTGGCAAAGTCCAAAAGTTTGGAAAATGGGTTCCTCATGAGTTGACCGACAACAACCATAATCAAAGAGTCACAATTTGCAGTTCGCTCCTCTCTGGTCAAAACCGTTTGCCGTTTTTAGAGCAAATTGTTACCGGAGATGAGGAATGGGTGCTGTATGTTAATTTGAAAAGGCGGCCTCAATGGTTGGACAAAAATGAGGCTCCGCAGCCCACGCCAAAACCTGACTTGCATGCGAAAAAAGTGATGTTGTGTGTTTGGTGGAATTTTAAAGGAATTCTTCATTATGAACTTTTACCATCTACCCAAACCATTACAAGTGCAGTGTATAGTGCCCAATTGGAAAGGTTAGCCCAAGCTTTAAGAGAAAAAGAACCCGCGCTGATTAATCGGAAGGGCGTAATTCTTCACCACTATAACGCACGACCGCAGACTGCAAGAATCACTGCTGAAAAACTGCGCCAGTTGGAATGGGAAGTTCTCCCTCAACCTGCATATTCTCCTGATATTGCCCCTTCCGATTACCATTTGTTTCGTTCTTTGCAAAACTTTCTTCTTGGAAAAAAATTTAATAATGAAGAATGCCTCAAAAATGCATTGACCGAATTTTTTGCATCAAAATCACAAGAATTTTACAACAGAGGGATTAAAATGCTTCCTGAGCGTTGGGCACAAGTAGTAGAAAACAACGGCAACTATATTGTTGATTAAATTTTGTTGTATTGTTTAAATAAATTCGATTTAAAAAAGTATTAGAAAACTACATTAATTATTACTAGACCTAATACTAGGCTTTAATTTTAACGTGTAGGAAAGATAAATAGAGCATAAATGTTTAAACCCAAATGTAAATGAAAATTGATTTTTGTTCATTCAGTTTTAACAGAAATAACAGTTTAAGATAATTTTTATGTCATACTTATATTACTTTTCAAGGAAAAGACCATTTCAGGCATGAAGAATATCATTGCTGAGATGGAACAGGCATCAAGGTAAACCACTCGTCAACAAGAATTTGAGTACATGTTTATTAAGGGCAAGGTACTATGTTAGGTACAAAGATTGTAAGAAACGGGGGCTTAGTGTTACATTTAGGGTGATCCCTTTCTGATGTTGGAAGGAGGCCTAAGACTGTGTAGGGAAGTAAAAGAGGATATGGCGTCTGCCAAGGAAAGGACAGCAGAGAACCACAGACCACATAAAGTTCAGGAGCCTGGTGAATGCAAGTAGGTGAGTGTTGGAACCCAAAGTGAGAGAGGAGGTGTGAAGGGAGGAAAGGCTAAACACAGAGGCCTGACTTATAGACAAATGAGTCTAGATTTTATCGTTTGGGAAATAAGAAATCATTAAGGAATTTGAAGAGAATGTTGTGTTAGAAAGATTACCCACACTGAAGAATGATGACAGATTGGGGTTGGCAAGTGTCGTCAGGGGTGAGGTGCTTCAGAGGAAGAAAATATAGGAAAATGCTAGGTTTTGAGGGATGAATCCTGGATGTGTAGAGACTATGGAAAGCGATGGCTTTCCTCTGAATTGGAAAAGCCTTTGAGACCTTGTATATCTGTCTCATACACGGTTAAATATGAGAGTCTGGAGAGTAAGGAGGAGGCCAAGGCTGGAGGTAATGATTTCAGAGTTTTCAGGGTATAGACGGGGGTGGGAGCCATGGATATGACTAGTACTTGTCTGAGCGATGGCAGAGAGTAAGAAACAGGAGACTGAGTTGAGCCCTCAGAACGCTTACATTTTAAGAGGGCAGAGGAAGAGGAACCTGCAAATGAAACTAAGCCATGGCAGCTAGAGGTCAGAGGAAAGCTTTCTTATATTTGAATGTCAGAAGTTTTGAAATACTTAGGTAATATTTAGACTGTTATGTGTATTCAGCATCCTTTTTCCATAGTGAAATGTTGGCAACACAGAGAAAATGGAATGCACTATTTTCACAGTATTTATTCATATAAATTTAAATGTGTTTAAAACTTCTTCAAATGTTTTTATGTTAACTGTCCATCTTCTGTCATGTGAGAATTTGTTTTTCTGTTTTGGCAAAATGACTCTTCTGACATACTATTTGATTTGTGCAATAGACAGTCTACTGAAGCGCTAATTATGTGTGAACAAGACATTTCCAGGATGCGCAGGCAGTTGGATGAAACAAATGATGAATTGGCTCAAATCGCCAGGGAAAGAGATATCTTGGCTCATGAGAATCACAATCTCCAAGAACAGTTTTCTAAAGCTAAACAAGAGAACCAGGTATATTTGTCCTAGTCTCTTTTTCTCCAAGAAAACACGTTTCCTCTGAGGCGCGATTCTCCTTTCATTCTGTAGAAAAGCTCAGGCTCTGGAAGCAGCCATTTTCCCCTCTATTACACAATATGCCACGTAATTTTTAAATGAGACTCTCAGGCATAAAATGTTAAATATTAAGGAGAGAGAGAGCAGGGAATATGATAGATGTATATTCAACCTTAGAAGTACTCAACAAATGAAGAAAAAGCTTCAGAAACTTTTAAGAAATAGTAGGTTTACTTCAGGGACTATTATTCTAAGTGTGAGTGTATGAACTATGCCACATTTTTTGGTTCTTTTGAGCACTAAATCTTTTCGGGAAAATTTCTTTTATAATAACTTCCTCCCTACATCAATATACTTTATCTACATTTCTCATTTCCAATATCATTATTTTAATTTCACCATTAAAAATAATTCTATTTGGAAGCTTTCCTCTCAAGTGGAAATTCTTCAGTCCAAATGATATCCCCCATGTACTATCACTCTCCATGTTTTGTTTGCATCATAAAAGTCTGTATTTTAACTGTTAAAAATTTTAAATTTATATGAATAGATACAGATACATTTTAATTATGAAAAATTGCCTGATAAGTTAAAATACTATTTCCAAAATTAAATGAATAATGAAATCCTGTAACAAAAATGGCTAGCATATAAAGATGAAAGAAGTCTGGGCCCTGGCTGGGCAGTTTAGTTGGTTAGAGTCTTGACCAGACAATTCAAGGTTACAGGTTAATTCTCTGGTAGGGAACAAACAAGAATCAACCAATGAATGCATAAATAAGTGAAACAACTAGTTGATATTCCCCAACCACTGTCCCTTTTCTCTCTTTTTCCAAAAAAAAAAAAAAAAAAAAAAAAAAAAGAGTAGTAAATAAAGAAATGCAAGAAATCTGAATAAAATATGTACTTCAGTTAATTATTTGTTGATTTTGGTTCATTAGTTGGGATAAGTATCCCTCATGTAAGATGTTAACAAAAAAGGGAACTGAATATAGAGTATGTGTGGGCTCTCTTTACTATTTTCACAACTTTTCTGTGTATATAAAAGTATTCTAGAATAAACTTTACTTTTAAAAGTTAATGAATAGCAATGAAAACTAATATGTGAATTTATAATTTTGTGTACTCTGTACCTACAGCAAATAGGCTAAAGGAAAATAAGACCTATATTTATGAAAAACTAGATTAAAAAACACATTTTGTACTGGTTTTCAGTGTATTTTAAAAATATTTTGTAATGATTTCCAATGTATTTTTTAAATATTTATTATTTTACATGAACTTTTTATGTAGCTGAAATAAAACCACATGCCCCTTTACATAATCATTTTTCTACATGAGGGGGCAGTAGAGAGGAGTGGTTTAGACTCACAAGAGTTTGAATCCCCCTGCCTAGCTGTGATAATATCACTTAACTTCTCCGAATCTCAATTCATCATCTGTAAACATGGAGAGTAAGTGAGAATATACCTAGAAAGCACTTATCAGAGAGTCCAGCATAATCATTTTATAAATATTTTGTAGGAATATTATAAGCATTTACCTGCATTTTAAATTTTTTATAAACATTTTGTACAATTAGAAGAAAATTGGTATCACAACAATTTTCATATGTTCAAGAGTAGTTCATTTGGGTCATGGACCCAAGGGTAAAAGATGGATCCTTCTTTGGACCAGAAATTAAGAATTCTATCACAGAAGATGTGGAAAACAGAATCCTACCGTAGTACCCCAATTTTTAACAAATTGGGATGAAGTATTTTTAGTATTTTTTCACTAACTATTGATGACATTTTCCTCTATAATTAAAAATTACTTCAAGCATTTCTTATAGAGGCATAATGTTGTATGTGGTCTTATCGTTATATAGATACTATTATTTGCTGCATCACTCAATGTGAATAAAATATTGTTGCCATAACGTATAATGCCTTAATGAACATTACTTTTCATTACATTTTGCTAGATTTAATTTCAAGTTAAATCACAGGTTATGAAGTTTTTTAAAATTAGGTGGACATTTTCAAATATAGTGAATACATACTTATACATCTCTCATCTTCAACAAAAAGCAACATATTTATACATCACTCGTTAGCAGACCACACATTTGCTGATTGCAAAATTACATTTACTCCAATGGTAACATGGAAATGTCCATTCTTTGCCATAACAAAATAGCTTCAAATACTTGCTAACTAATAGGCAAATAGTATCTCATTGTCTTAATTAGCATTTCTTTGATTACTAGTAAATTTTTAACTTTTTAAAGTATTATCCATTTGTGCTTCCTTTTTATGAATTATCTGTTTGGGTTCTTTGCCCATTTACAATTTGGACTCATACTTTCTCCCTGTTTTTATATGAGCTTTATATATTAGGCATATTAACTGTAATAATTATTTAAAAATGTATGATGATTTAGAAATATTAATATATCATTTTTAACTTTTTAATTTTTTTAGTCAATTTTAGCTATCTTTTTCTCATAGGCCCTGGCTAAACAATTGAGTGATACTCATAATGAACTTAATGATATAAAACAGAAGGTCCAAGATACTAATTTGGAGGTTAACAAGCTGAAAAATATATTAAAGTCTGAAGTACGTATATACATTTTTCCCTCCTTTCTCATGATACCTGAGTTTTCAATAAAGTTACTGACCAGTTACACTCAGGGGAAAACTGAAAGAAGTCTTCTTTTAAGGCACAGCTTATTTTAGTGTTGTCAATGATGAGTTAACATCACCAATGTCCAGAAAGATAACTCAAGAATATGCCCCTCTTAGTGTGCTATCAGCCATTCTAGATATGTAAAATCTTCCAAACTGGTAAAGGACAGGGGGCCAGAATCAACTTTGGTTCATTCATATTTGAAAATGGTAGAGATTCCAGGTGCAAACTTGGACAAAAGAGGCTCCACATTGTGTAGCAGATCAGAATTGATCACACTGTTATGGGACCATTTATTTCTTAGGATCGGAAGGCAGATGGCTCTTCTCGCCACTTCTCTTCCAGTAGCCATTTGTCCAGGTGCGTAGATGCTTAAAGTAAATTTCAGGGCATGTGTGACAATCCTGGAATAAACAGAAGCTTGATGAACGATATTAGATGTGTCCATTTAGTAAAATGTTATATAAAATAGTGTAGTTTGGTTGATTAAAAAGTATAATTGGATTATAATAGGTGTAGTGTTTGTTACCTACATACCACTGAAACCATTAATAGAAACTCACCCCAAGAAAATCTGTTTATTTTATTTAACATATTATTTCATACTAGAGGCCTGGTGCATTAAATTTGTGCATGGGGGAGGGTGTCCCTCGGCCCAGCCTCCACCCTCTCACAATCCAGGACTGCTGCCTCCAACTGCTTGCCTGCCTGCCTTCCTGATTGCCCCTAACTGCTTCTGCTTGATCACCCCCTAACAACTCCCCTGACAGCCTGATTGATGCCCAACTGCTCCCCTGACAGCCTTTTTGCCCCTAATTGCCCTCCCCTGCAGGCCTGGTCACCCCTAACTGACCTCTCCTGCAGGCCTGGTCCCCCAACTGCTCTTCCCTGCAGGCCTGGTCGCCCCTAATTTCCCTCCTCTGTCAGCCTGGTCACCCCTAACTGCCCTCCCTGTAGGCTTGATCACCCCCAACTATAGTCCCTTGCAGGCCTCCCAAGTGCCCTCCCCTGCTGGCCATCTTGTGTCCACATGGGGCAGCCATCTTTGACCACATGGGGCCAGCCTTCTTGTGTGTTGAAGTGATGGTCGATTTCATTTCATATCACTTTTATTATATAGGAAGGAGGATCAGTCCACAAACAAATGTAGAGCATGTTTAGGATCTTGAGAGATAGTGAGTGTAAGGCAGTGGTTCTCAACCTTTCTAATGCCACGACCCTTTAATAGAGTTTCTCATTTTGCTACTGTTATGAATCATAATGTAAATATCTATGTTTTCTGATGGTCTCAGGTGACCCTGCTAGTGGTTCTCTACCTGTGGGTCCTAACCCAAAGTTGAGAACCACTGCTGTAGAGCCTAAGACCATCGGAAAACACAGATATTTACATTACGATTCATTAACAGTAGCAAAATTACAGTTATGAAATAGCAATGAAAATAATTTTATGGTTGGGGGTCACCACAACATGAGGAACTGTATTAAAGAGTCGTGGCATTAGAAAGGTTGAGAACCACTGGTGTTAAGGACTCCTAAATTGCAATCTTTGTTTTTAGGCAATAGAGCAGTGAGCTTACACTGACAAAGCAGGCATTTCCACACTTCTTGATTTTAGAAGCCAGCATGTAATATCACGAATGGACAGGAGCTCTGGAATCAGATAGGTCTGACTCCTCTTCTCCTTAATGGCATGGACTTAGTGGGCTACTCAACCTCTCCTAGTCTCTGTCCCGCTGTAACTGGGAAGAACACCCAGGTCAGTCAGCAGATCTAGCCCAATGATCCATTTAAGTCTAATCTGGAACAGGACAGAAAATGAATAACTGAATATCTTAGCAACATTGAGCATAGTTAACTCTGAATTAGTGTAAATCAGCCCCCCTCTTCTCCCTACCCTGTCACATTAAGGATTGGGGCTTTTAGATTCTGGAGTTGTGTTTTCAGACATCACACATCAGGTTTCTCTTAGCTTTTAGCATGCTAGGATGAGTTCTTTCACTGGATTTCATTTCACAGCACCATTGGATGGATCCAGGCACCCCTTTCCCCAGAGAGCACAAAGCACGGGTGGCCTAGTAAGAACTGTCAGGTGCATTCTTCATTCACTCCTCCATTCAGCAGGCAGTGTGCTAGGTGCAGAGGTGCCAGAGATGAAAACTGAAAGGAAACAGAATGGCGCCCCAGGCGGTGGGGACAGCATCAGCAAAGGTGTTAGGGGGAGTAGTATGTCCTGTAGTAGAGTGGCGTGTATAGGTGGGTGATAGCAGAGAGGGAAGAAGGACTTGTTAAATGCCATTTTCAGGAAGCTTTTGTTTAAACAGAAGTCATTTGAAGAATTACTTTTTAGAAAGATTATTCTGGAGATGTTGGGAAGAATAAAACAGATGGGTAAGAAAATCACAAGGATAGAGAGCAGTTAGGAGAGGCTGTACCCATAATTCTACTACCTAAGATTTGCTTTTCAGGAATCTGAGAACCAACAAATGATGGACCAACTCCGAAAAGCCAATGAAGATGCTGAAAACTGGGAAAATAAGGCCCGGCAAGCAGAGGCAGATAATAATGCCCTCAAATTAGAACTTATCACTGCTGAGGCAGAGGGGAACAGATTAAAAGAAAAGGTAGATGCCCTCAGTAGAGAGGTCGAGCAGGTGAGTTTGGGAAAGTGTGCTTGTAGTAAATCTTGCATCCTTTTGAAGACTGTAGTTTGACTTTCCATAAATTAAATATATAAGCAAACACTTAAATTATTTAAATACTAGAGGCCTGGTGCATGGATTGGTGCACATTGAAAGGAAATTTAATTTGAAGGTGGCCAGAGGGGTGGGACTGAGCGAGAGGGATCAAATATGTCCGGGAGCCAACCTCCCTGGCTGGCTGTGTCTGGGGCAGTGCTGGGGCTTGGAGGGCATCAGCAAAGCAAGCAGGGTCTCTCTGGCAGGTGGGGTCCCTCGGCCTGGCCTGCAGGGATTGGGCCAAAAGTGGCAGTCCAACATCCAGCAAGAGGTCCCAGAGTGCAAGAAGGCACTCTGTAAAGGTCCTGCATTGAGTGTCTGCCCCCGGGTGGTCAGTGCGTGTCATAGCTACCAGACGGTCTCCCAGTCAGCAGGTTGCTTAGCCTTTTATATATATAGATACTGTGAGTTGTAGCCTGATAACTGTTCTTGTATTCACTCTGGTTCTCTTCTAATCTATTACCTGCACTACCAATAGAATAACCTTTAGCATTTTTTTAAAAAATAGAAGCTATCACAAACATATGAAAAAGTGCAAAAAACAAGTAATATAAAAGACATGCTTATATCCCTCCTCACAGGTTTAAGGATGCTAACATTTTGCCATAATTGCTTCAAGTCTCTATTTAAAAAAACAAAACATTACAGGATCCAACTTCTTATCTTTTCCCCTTTTCCCCCTCTAGTGTTTGGCATGTATAAAATTCCTGGTTGTATAGCTCTTTTGCATATGTTTATATTTTTCTACATATCTCTCACCCTCAGGTGATTCATAAAGTTGTTTTGTGCACTGTAAGTTATTACATATTACAGGTATCCATTGGCAACTTGCATTTTTGTTCAATATTATTTTGAAATTTATTAATTTTTATACAGTGTATATCTAAACAGTTGTATCTATATTCATTGTATAAATATTTTCTTTTTAAAAATTATTCTTATATTAAAGGAAGTTTAATTGTCTTCATTTTCTTTTTTATATATATTTTATTGATTTTCTTTTTAAAAAAATATATATTTCATTGATTTTTTTACAGAGTGGAAGGGAGACAGATAGAGAGTTAGAAACATCGATGAGAGAGAAACATTGATCAGCGGCCTCCTGCACACTCCCTAATGGGGATGTGCCCACAACCAAGGTACATGCCCTTGACAGAAATTGAACCTGGGACCATTGAGTCTGCAGGCTGACGCTCTATCCACCGAGCCAAACTGGTCAGGGCATGTCTTCATTTTCTTAATATAAAATGCTACAACATCCTTTTTTGTTTCTCTTTGGATATTTATTTCTGTAGGTTTATGACTAAAAGTGGAACAACTGTATCTATGTGCAATTTTAACTTTGTGCTGTCAGATTACTCTCTAAAGTATTACTCTTCTACCAGAAATCATGCAGTTATCATTTTCTCAAATATGAATCAGTACTTGATATTATCAGACATTTAATTTTTTTCATACTTTTTGTTTGTGTTTTCTTGATTACAAATGAAAGTCTTCATATTTCTTAGCCATTCAGAATTACTCTTTTATGAGTTTTCTCTTGATTTGCTGGAATGAATTTCTTAAACTCTCCTACTTTTCTATTTAGTTGTTTATATTTTTCATATTGATTTAAAGGTATAATCTATTCTAGATAATAATCCTTTTAAATACATTAACATTTATCTGTAGCTTGTCTTTTCACTGTGCTTGCAATATAAATAGAAATTTTAAATTCCGTGCTGCTGGTATTAGTCAATGCTTTACCTGTGGTTAATGATTTTATGTCTTCTTTAGGAAATCCTTTACTATCCCAAGAGCAGAAAGATGTTTTTTTATAATTTCATTTTAAAAATGTTCTAAAAGTATGTGAAAATTTGCCCTTTATAATTAGATCTTTAAGTTATTTGAGATTGATTTTGTATATAGCTTCAAATAGAGGGATAATTTCATATTTTTGTGGATAAATCTGCCAATCTTTTTTCACTGAATTATAAGTCTACTTTGTCATAAAAATAAGTCCCCATCCATTCTGCTCCATTGGTCAGTTTCTCAATCTGCTTCCCAAGAATACAGTCTTAGAGCTTCTATAGTTTGGTTAAGTGTTGATATTTGGTTGGATTCATGTTTCCCAAAATATAGTGACTATATTTTGTCCTTATTAAACCCTTAAATTAATTTTAGAATAAAGTGATCACATTCCATGATTGAACATATGTTTATCTTTTATATGCATTTAAGATTTATTTTCTTAATTTAAATATTATCTCAAAATATTTATTTGGCTATATCCCACAGTTTTGAGGTAATTCTGTCATTGCCATTCAGTTTTCAATATCACCCAATTCTATTATGATTTATTTTTGATCCCTGAAGTTATTTTAAAACTTTTCAGTGAACAGAGGACCTAAAATGATTATTCTATTTTTTATTTTGTTGTGTTTTATGATCAGATAAAATACCTTATGTGATATTAATTTTTGGTGTCTATGAAGACTGACATGGTGAATATTTGTATTCACTTATTATAAGCTATGTGAGTGTATGTATGTATGTATGTATGTGTATATATATTATGTATACGTATATACGTATATGTAATATATAAATAGTATACATTATATATTTATATACCTGATTATATTTGTTAATAGTGTCATTCAATTCTTATAAATCCTTACTAAGTTTGTATTTTTCATCTTTTAGTTAGTGGAAGTAATGTTTTAAGATCCTCCTCTATTATTCTTATTTGTCTGTTTTTCTCTGAATGATTTTCTTGATTTTTGCTTTATTTCTGAGCAGTCATTAGTTTCATACCAGTTTAGTATTTATATATTTCTAAAGAAAATATTCTAAATTTGTGTAAGGATTCACTTGGATAACTAACACTATTTATTTAGAAGTATGTTTTATATATTAATATAGCTATCTATGTTTTTATTGTTGACAAAGTACTGCTATATTTCATTTTTAGTCAATTATATTGAAGTACAATTTATAAGAAATAAAAAGCACTCACTTTAAGAGTGTGATTTGATGAGTTATGACAAATGAACACACTTGTACAATCATCACTACAATCAAGTTATAGGACATTCTATCATCTCCTTAATTCCCTCAAGCCTTTTTGCAATCAATCCATCCCAACTGGTAGGCAACTGCAGATTTGCTTTCCCTATTATTTTATGTAAATGGAATCACACAGTCAGTACTTGTTGTGTCTTGGCTTCTCTCACTCATCAGAATGATTTTGAAGCCATTTTTTAGTTCATCCTATATAATAAAAGCATAATATGCTTAATGTTCAGTCGACCCCTTGACCGGTCTCTATAATGCACACTGACTACCAGGGGCAGACTCTCTGACCATTAGATTAGCTTGGTGCTGGGGTCCAGCTGATCAGGACTGGGTGAGAGGGATAGACACTCCCTGGAGCCTTCCAATGGTCCCTCTCTGGCCAGCTGGCCCCCTTTGGCCCCAGCAGGGACTGGGTAAGATGGCTCTAATCAGCCCTCATCAATCACTGGCCAGGCCAAGGTACCCCAACTGTGCACAAATTTGTGCACTGGGCCTCTAATATTGTAATAATATACCACTGTCTAGCTATATCACAATTTGTTTACTCACCTGTTGATGGACAGTTAGTTTGTGTAGAGCTGCCATAACAAAATACCACAGATTGGTGGCTTAAACAACAGAGATTTATTTTCTCAAGATCTAGAGGCTAGAAATCCAAGGTCAAAGTGCCACAGGTTTGGTTTCTTCTGAGACCTCTCAACTTGGTCCACAGATGGATGCCTTACCTTTGTGTCCTCCCACATTCCTCTTTGTGTGTGCATCCCTGCTGTCTCTCTCTCTCTCTCCTCATTAGGACACCAGTTATATTGGATTAGGACCCCCTCCTTATGACCTCATGTAACCCTAATTGCCTCCTTTAAGGCCCTGTCTCTAAATACAGACACAGTTGGGGCTAGCCTTCTACGTGAGTTTTGAGGGGACAGGTTCTTTCTATTTTGGACCATTATGAATTAAATTGGAGTGGACATAGCGTGTAAGTCCTTGTGTGCACATGTGTTGTTATTTTCTTGAGTAAATAGGAGTTGAGTTGCTGGATCATATGGTAATTGTTCTCAACTTTGCAAGAAATCAACAAACTTTTCCAAATGTAAAGTGGTATCACTTCACACTCCTATTTGCAGTGTATGAGGGTTCCAGTTGCTCTACATCTTTCCCAGCACATGGTATTGTTAATAGATGTGTGCAGTTATCATACCGTAGGTTTAGTTTGTATTTTCTTCATGACTAATGATGTTGGGCAGCTTTCCATTCTGTTTTGATTGTCTGATCACTGTTATATCTCCTTTAGTGAAGTATCCAAATCCGTGGCCCATATTTTTATTAGGAGTCTTGTTATTCAGTTGTAAGAATTTTTTTTTTATTGCTCTAGATGTTCCTTTGTGTAATTTTGAATGTTTTCTTCCAGTGATTGGCTTTTTTTATTATTACTTAATTAATTCTTTTTAAGAGCAGGTTTGAAATTTTTTTAAGTCCAGCTTATCAGTTTTCTTTAATAATTTGCACATCTTTGTCCTATCTAATAAATCTTTACAAATACCAAGGTGCATAAGTTTTCTTCTGTTTCTTATAGAAATATTACACTTTTTATATTTATATCTAAGATATATTTTGAAGTAATATTTGTATATGATGTAAAATGGTTAAGGCTTATTTTTTAAATTTATTTTTCAGTTGACATACAATATTATATTAGATTCAAGTATGCAATACAGTGATTAAACATTTATGAAGGGATCTCAACAAATCTAGTACCCATCTGATATTATACATAATTATTACAATATTATTGACTATATTTTCCATCCTCTACTTTATACCCCTGTGACTATTTTTATAACTGGCATTTTTACTTCTTAATCTCTTCACCTTTTCCACCCATCTTCCCTCAATGCCCCTCCCATATGACAATCATCAATTTGTTCTCAGTATCTATGAGTTGTTTTGTTTGTTTATTTTATGTTAGATTTCACATGTAAGTGAAATCATATGGTATTTGTTATCTCTGTCTTATTTCACTTACATAATACCCGCTAGGTCCATCCATGTCAAAATGGCAAGATTTCATTCTTTTTTATGACTGAGTAATATTCCATTGTATATACTAGAGGCCCAGTGCTTAAAATTTTTCTTTCTTCCTTGAAAGCTCAACTATGAATTACATATATTCATTTATTTATTTGACTGATGCATGACTCCCCTATAGTCTAAAAGTTTTGTCAAAGAAGAGACCATTTTGCTTACCATTGGATATACATTTAAGCATATTGGCTGGAGGATGATTTAAAAAATAAGTGAGGCTTTAGCCAGTTTGGCTCAATGTATAGAGCATCATCTTGCAGACCGAAAGGTCCAGGTTTCTATTGATTCCAGTTGCAGGCTCCTCCCCCACCCAGACCCTGGTCAAAGCTCAGGAGGCAACCAATCGATGTGTTTCTTTCACATTTATATTTCTCTGTCTTTTTCACTCTCTTCCACTTCCTCTAAAAATCAATGGAAAAATATTCTTGGTGAGGATTAAAAAATAATAATAATACTTAAAAAAAAAAAAAAGAATGACTGAGAAATACAGTGAGTGAGAAGGAAGGGAGGGAGAAAGGTAGAAGTGAATTGTGACCAAATAATTTTTTCCAGGAGCAATATTTTAGTGCTTTGTACTTTTAACAGGAGCTATAAAAGTAGAAAAGTGTCTTTATTTGCCTCTCAGTTCTGTTATCTTCACATAATAGCAAACGCTTCTCTGTAGGTGGTAGTGTACTTAAGACTTTTTTTCTGAAAAAAAGGAGGCATTATCTTGAATGTTTGAAAGCATTTATATAACTTGAATGTCATTTATATAACTTGAATATCATTTTTAAAACATGCTCTTATTTCTCATAATGTGGATTTATTCTTAATTTGTACTTGCCCAGAGCCTTTTTCTTTAAGGTATTAGTAAGTGGTAGAGAGTTAATAGTCCTCATTTTATTATATTACTAGAGGTCCAGTGCATGAAATTCGGGCATTAGTAGGGTCCTATCAGCTGCCAGCTGCCAACCGGGGTCTCCCACTCTTCCCCTGGCCAGCCCAACCCCGGTTGAGCTCCCAGATGAACTCCTAATGGAGGGGACAATTTGCATAATATGCTTTTATTATATAGGATGATCAATATCAACATATAGAGGCCTGATGCACGAAATTCATGCTCTGCCTCAGAACCCACGTGCTGCAACTTTGTCTGGAAGGTCGTCTAGAACAGTGTTTTTCAACCTTTTTTGGGCAAAGGCACACTTGTTTCATGAAAAAAATCACGAGGCACACCACCATTAGAAAATGTTAAAAAATTTAACTCTGTGCCTATATTGACTATATATAAAGTAATTCTCTTGAATAGGAATCAAATAAACACAAAGAAAGTATTTTATAATTACTTTATTATGAAATACTAAGTAAACAAAATAGTGAAAAATTATAAAATTCTTGTCTTGTCTGCACCTACGGCACACCAGGCAACATCTCAGAACAGCGGTTGAAAAACGCTGGTCTAGAAAACATCTGGTCTAATTAGCATAGTACCTTTTTATTAGTATAGATAGTTTAAGAATTGGAAAATGAGAATTACGAGTAAATTAGTGGTTGTTTCATTTGTCACTTTGTGTTAAATACAATAATATTTATATTCTAGAATAATAGAAACTGTGGCACACAGACACAACTATAGATCAAACATATATCTCAACCAGCTTTGGAGCTGAGACTTTTAAGTGGGAAAAGTTGTTTTCCAAATATTTTGACCATATAACTCATGGGTATGTGTCATGGTGTTTTGTACATATATTACTACCTATGGCATCTAAAGTTCCTTATAATGTAAGTGTATTATCGTTAAAAGATTTGCCCCATTTAGTGCTCTATGTTGTAGTTTTTTTTCCAAGTTAAAAACTATAATAATTTTGTCTTTGTAGCACTTGAATGCAGAAAGGTCTTACAAGGCCCAAATTTGTACGTTGCATAAATCTCTTGTGAAGATGGAAGAGGAGCTTCAGAAGGTTCAGTTTGAAAAGGTGTCTGCCCTTGCAGACTTGTCTTCCACAAGGGAACTTTGTATTAAACTTGACTCAAGCAAAGAACTTCTTAGTAGGCAGCTGATTGCTAAAGATCAAGATATTGAAATGGTATGTAATGCATTTAAAATGTTTTATTTTTTCCATATTTCTAGTATATAAAATTACTACAGGATTAGAAAAAAGTTCTGTTTTTATTATTACACCAAGCCTGTCTTTCACCTTTAAATTTCTTTTCTAAGACCCAGAGATTAGCTTAACAGCTATATTCCAACAATTCAAGTAAGTTACATAACTCTTCCTTTGAGCATTTAATTTATATTTACTTTTGGCTAGAAGAATTATAAAACATCTTTACATACCAATCAGTAAAGAACCACAAGGTAAAAAATCAACAAAAAAAAAAAAACCCATGAGGTTGAGGTCTATCCAGCTAAATTATAACTTTAATGACATTCTTTTAAGCTAAATTTATTTACCAATTGGGTTGTTTTAAACTGTAATTTGATTGATTATATCTACCATGTGCCTGACATTGTGTTTGCCACTATGACTATAATGTTCAAAAGATACAGGCCCCTATTCTCAAGGAGAGGGAGACGAAACTCAAATCCTAAAGTATCTGTATCAAGTTGCATAGTGTAACTGAAGAATTAACAAATTTTGGTCATGTGTACATTTCTATTATTTTCAAATCCTATTGAAATTTTAGTTTTCTTAGTCTAAAATGTAGCTAGCTGGTTTCTATAATAATTCACTGTTTATATTTTATGAGTGAAGTATATGTCAGTATGTTAAATTCTTTCTTTAATTGTTTTTTTTTTATTTCAGCAAAAACATTTTAGTGATGAAAGTAACTCATAGATAACGATTCAAATAATATGTCCTTAATTTTTTCTTTAAAAATACTTTTTACTTGGTGTTTTCAAATTGGGAAAATAATACATGTAATAATTGAAACATTTGTTTTTTATAGTTTTGTTTTTTCTTTTCTTTTTTTTTTAATAATAGCTATTTTAATAGTTGTCAAGTGGTCAGGCTAATGCAGCTTTTAATATTCTCTCTTTGTCTTTCACCTTAGCTATTTTAATTAGGATGTGTCTTGGTGTGAGTTTCTTTGGCTCCATATTGTTTGGGGTTCTCTGTACTTCCTGGACTTGTATGTCTTTTTCCTCTACAGTTAGGGAAGTTTTTGTCATTATTTCTTTGAATAAGTTATCGATCCCTTGCTCTCTCTCTTCTCTGTCTGGTATCCCTATAATGCAGATGCTATTATATTTCATGTTGTCCTATAAACTAGGAATAGAAGAGAATTTAAATTAATAAAGAGCATCTGCAAAAAAAAAACCAAAAAAACAAAAAAAAAAAAACCCCACAATTGACATATACTTAATGGTAACAGAGTGAATAGTTTTCATTGTTCTTGTCAGTAATACAGCAAATATGTTATCCTCCCATCTTGCAGTCAATATTGTATGGAAGTTCTACCCTGAGAAATAAGGCTAGAGAAAGAAACAAAAGGAATCCAGATTGGTACAAAGTAAAACTATCTCTATTTACAGATGATGATCTTACATATAGAAAATCCTAGCATCTAGTTAAAAACTATTTTAACTAATGATACATTTATCAAGTTTACAAGATATAATATTAATCTACAATAATCAATTATATTTTTATATGAGTGATGAATAATTCAAAAATGGAAATAAGAAAACAAATACATCAAATGGTATTACATGAAAAAGGGTGGTGTCAAGAGAGGATAAAAAACTTAATAATCAATTTAACAAAGAAGTGCAAAACGTGTACTTTATAAGTCAGAAAATCGTTAAAAGAAATTAAAGAAAACTTAAATAAATAGAAAAACAACCTATATTCATTCATCAGAAGACTTAAATTAACATTGTTAAAATGGCAATACTAACTCAAATTGATTTTTTTAAAAAAAGATCAATACAATGCTTATCAGAATCTCAGCTGGCTTCTTTATAGAAATTGACAAGATGATATAAAGTTAATGTGGAGTGCAAGAGACTTAGAATAGCCAAAACAACCTTGAGAAAGAAGAACAAAGTTAGAGGACTAACAATTCCCAATTTCAAAACTCATTACAAAATTACAGCAATCAAGACAGTGTAGTACTAACATAAGGAAAGACATATTGGTCAATGGAACAGAATTGAGAGTCCAGAAATAAACTCTTATATTTATGGATAAATGATTTTCAAAAAATTGATGCCAATACAATTTAATGGAGAAAGAAGAGTTTTCCCAACAAATGGTACTGAGACAACTGAACATCTACATGGAAAATAATTAAATTTAATTCCTATCACATACCACATGCAAATAAAATAAAATATATTATAGGCCTGTAGTAAATTTTGTGACCTTAAATACATATAGGAAGCACAGCAACAAAAGAAAAAAAATAAATGAAAAGGACTTCATCAAAACAAACAACTTTTGTGTTGCAAATCCTACCTAATAAGAGTAATATGCAAATTAATCATACTCCACTACACCCACAAGACACACCCACCAACACACCCACCAGCCAATCAGATCAAGTATGCAAATAAACCAAACCAAGATGGCTATGGCCACAGAGAGCAGGAAGGAGGCTTGGGTTTCCCAGGCAACAGAAGAAGCTAATCTTTCTGCCTACTCTTGCCAGCCTAGGCCTCCACTCAAGGCTACAAAGTTTCAGTTATAGAAGGTAAACAAATCCAAACAGAAATGGCGGCAGCCACAAAGCTGGAGAGAGCAGCCTAGGGTTGCCCGCAGCAACAGAGCAAGCAAAGCTTTCCGCACACCCTGGCTGGCCCAAGCCTCTGCTTAAGGCTACAAAGTTTCAATGATAGAAGGTATATAAGTCCCAATAGAAATGGCTGCCCGCCACAGACAAGCAGGAGGCTTGGCTCTGCTCCAGGTTACAAAGTTTCAATTGTAGAAGGTAAATAAATCCCAGATACCAGGGCCTCCGCTTGGGTCGCCACAGGGCATGACTGGCCTGCAAACCACCACAGGCCCCTCTCTTAGGCCACCCTATGCCCCAAGGGAACCCCCACCCTGATCCGGGACACCCTTTAGGACAAACCAGCTGGCCCCCTCGCATGCACTAGACCTCTATCCTATCTAATAAAAGAGTAATATGCAGATTGACCATCTTTCCAACACACAATTTGGCTGCCCCCATGTGGTCAATGATCCTGCCCCTATGTGGACACAAGATGGCCACCACAAGATGGCCAGCAGGGGAGGGCAATTGGGAGCAATGAGACAAAGAAGGGCAGTTGTGGGCAATTAGGCAAGCAGGAGAGGGCAGTTAGGGATGACCAGGCCAGCAGAGGAGGGAAGTTGGGAGCAAATAGGCTGGCAGGGGAGCAGTTAGACATCAATCAAGCTGGCATGGGAGTAGTTAGGGGGTGATCAGGCTGGCAGGCAGAAGTAGTTAGGGGCAATCAGGAAGGCAGGCAGGTAAGCAGTTGGGAGCCAGCAATCCTGGATTGTGAGAGGGATGTCCCACTGCCCATTTAGGCCCGATCCCAGGAAACAAGCATTCGGACATCCCTTGAGGGGTCCCAGATTGGAGAGGGTGTAGGCTGGGCTGAGGGACCCCTCCCCAGCCTCATGCACAAATTTCATGCACTGAACCTCTAGTAATATCAATAAAGAAAAAAGGCATTGCACAGAATGGGAAAAAACATTTTCAAATTGTTTATCCTTTAAGACAGTAGTTCTCAACCTTTCTAATGCCACGACCTTTTAATATAGTTACTTATGTTGTAGTGACCCCCACTGTAAAATTACTTTCGTTGCTACTTCATAACTATAATTTTGCTACTGTTATGAATTGTAATGTAAATATCTGTGTTTTCTGATGGTCTCAGGCTCTACAGCAGCGGTTCTCAACCTGTGGGTCACGACATAAATCTTTGATAATCTGTCAGTTAAGTGAATGAATGAGAATAAGTATAGATATCTTCCTATTGTTGTACAGATGGAGAATGAGTTAGATTCTGCTCGGTCTGAAATAGAACTCCTTAGAAGTCAGATGACAAATGAGAGAATCTCCATGCAGAATCTAGAAGCTTTGCTGGTGGCCAATCGGGACAAAGAGTATCAGACTCAGATAGCGCTTCAAGAAAAAGAATCTGAAATTCAGCTGCTTAAAGAACACCTGTGTTTGGCAGAAAATAAAATGTGAGTTTCTTAGCAGTATCATAACAAAGTCATATTCCGTAAGTGTTTGATACTTTATTGGCTAGTAGAATTTTAAAGCTGGAATTTATATAATTTAAGCATCCATAATTAGCCATTAATTAAACTGAGCACCAGAAATATTGTGATTTGCCAAAACTTTAGTACTAGTTTCTATTACATGTTTAGCTAAATTGATTTAAGTTTAAGTTTAACCATTGTGTTGATTGTTTCCAATGGAGCTTTGGGTATAATGTCTAATTTATAATATTGCCTTTAGGAAATATTATAACCAGATTAGAAAAACAAAACACTTCTGAAACCAGAAGAATTTTTCTATATATGAACCCACCTGGTATTTCTCCTTAATCTTCCCACTTGTCACACGGTGTTTGCTTTTGTACCTATAAGGTACATACTAGGTACCTGGAAGGACTCCTGCATTCACAGAATACTGAAGACTTCCCTTAGAGCAGTGGTCGGCAAACTCATAATTCAACAGAGCCAAATATCAACAGTACAACAACTGAAATTTCTTTTGAGAGCCAAAATTTTTAAACTTAAATTTCTTCTAATGCCATTTCTTCAAAATAGACTCTCCCAGGCAGTGGTATTTTGTGGAAGAGCCACACTCAAGGGGCCAAAGAGCCACGTGTGGCTCGCGAGCCACAGTTTGCCAACCATGGCCTTAGGGCGTTGATTGTGGCTGCTGCTTTCAGCATCCCAGCACCATTAGCAGCTTATTCCAGGACCCTGCTGGAAGGGTGGGTGGAAATACCTGCCTGGATAGTGAGTGTTCTGTTGTTAAACTTAGTCTGTTGCTAACCTCTCACCAAAAACAGAAGCATGGGGACCGTCCCCCAGCCTCTGATCTGTTCTCTCCTCTAGAACACTTTTTCACCCAGCCTCAACTCTGCCCTTCTGTCTGAGCTTGGGGCCTGGGGAGGAATAGGAACCACGATCTCAGGAATCAGGCACTCACAGGAGCCCCTGACTGAGCCCAGCCTGCAAAGCCCAAGCCAGTTCCTTCAGAAAGTGTTTGCAGGTCATGGCAGCTGTCACTGAGTCCTTCTTAGTCGCTGCAGCTGGGCTGTTGTGCTACCTTTAACCGGTTCTGCCAGGTCACTTTCTCAAGCCGGAGTGGAAATCTCTTAAGAATGTAACCTTAAAGGCTGCCTTCTGTTCTAGACTGGCTGAGCAGTATTGTCCCTTACACGGGCAAACACGACCAGCTTGTGTGTCCTAGAGTGCCGTCCTGGGAACAAGCAGCGAGGGCAGAGCGCTCTTACAAGCAGCCTTCGTCTCCGTCGTTATCTTCCTGATGCAGGGCGCCATGTGGTGGGGTTTGTGGCATGGGTTAGCCCTAAAGGAGATCCTGTTAAATGGAGGAGAGTGTGTGCAGGAATATCAGATTTCATTCTGAGTGTACACAAAGCACATGGTTGATCTAATATATTACAGACCATTAGACTTCCAGTTTTGATTACTTGGTTATACCATTACTGAAGAGTATAATACTTTAAAGTACTTCTATGAAAATTACTAGAGGCCAGGTGCACAGATTCATGCACCAGTGGGGTCCCTCGGCCTGGCCTGTGGGGATTGGGCTGAAACCAGATCCCAAACATCCTCTGAGGGTCCCGGATTGCGAGAGGGCAGTTCTCCATTGACACAACCCAGAATCTGGTTCCCTCCTCTCTTCTCCCAATATTATGTCATTTTCTCTCTGCATCTGTCTCAGTCCTTTCATCTCACTTTATCCTAAGTTTAGTAGTAACTGATGACTTGTGGGAATTTAGCTGCAAAATGCATTAATTTAGCAAACAGGATTTACTTAGCCTGGAATCTAGTAGGCCTAGGGCAGGACTATGCTCAATGTCAGGCTCTGGTGCTGGCCCTTCCACCCAGGCAGAGTCCTGATGGGGTGGGAACCTCCTTCTTCCTACCTGAGCTTCTTCTCCCCCTCCTTCCCTCCTTGGTAGTTGCCTGCTGGCACTGCTGTTCACCTGGAAGGAGGGAAGCCACAGCCCCTTTCCCAGCCAAGAGTGGTAGTGGGAAAATTCACTGCCTCCACTGGAAATCAATATTAAGTGGATAGGCCAGTGCAGGCACCAGACAGTGGGGCCACAGCCAGTAGGTCCTGCATGTCTCATCATTTAGCTAATTGCGTCAAAAAGTTTCTGTTAGGGCCAGACCTCTGCAATGGGCTAGAGACCTGGTGTGGAGCCAGACCTGAAGTGGGGATCCAATTGGCCAGAAGCCCGTGCATGGATTCATGAGTTGGTGGGGTCCATCCGCCTGGTCTCTGGGGATCAGGCCAAAACCTGCTCTCCAACATCCCCTGATTGTGAGACGGCGGTTCTCAGGTGAAGCACCCCGAAATTGGGCTCTCTCGTCTCTGATTCTGGGTGCATCACCCAAGAACCGCAGCTGCCAAGTTACTGCAGCTCGGCAGCTCCTGCTTTGAGTATCTGCCTCCTGGTGGTCAGTGTGAGTCATAGCCACTGGTCAAAAGGTTGGGTGGTCAGTCAGTTGCTTAGGCTTTCATATATATAGATGTGCAGTAAATAGGTAATAGAGATAGATAATCCTATATAATAAAGAGCTAATATACAAATGGCCCTCATGCCCTTATGCCCTCATGCCAGAACTGCTCAGACACTCAACACTGGGGAGGACCAGCCAGGCACAAATGAGCTCACAAGAGAAGAATGGGGACCATGAGAGAGGAATGAGGACCAGCCACAAATGAGCTTGCGAGAGAGGAATGGGGACCAACCAGGCTGGGGCCTGGGAGAGGGACAAGCTGTCTGCCCCATGGTCCTGGGCACCTGCAGCCTGGCAGAGGGACAAGCCGCCCACCCCACTGACCTGGATGTCAGTACCTGCAGCTGTGGCCCAGGAGAGGGGCAAATCACCACCCCACAGTCCTGGGTGCCTGTGGCTGTGGCCCAGGTGAAGCCGCTGTAGCTGCAGCCGGCGTGGGCAAAGCTGGCCCAAGTCCTGGGTGCCTGTGGCTGGCCAGAGGGAGGGAAGCCCGGGTCTGGGTGCCTGCGACCAGCCAGAGGAGGGAATCCTTGGTCCCGGTTGTGGGACGAGGCAGAGGTGGTTAGGGATGATCAGGCCAGCAAAAGAGCAGTTAGGGACAATCAGGCTGGTGGAGGAGCAGTTAGGGGTGATAAGGCAGGCAGAGGTGGTTAGGGGAGATCAGGCAGGCAGGCAGGCGAGCAGTTAGGAACCAGCAGTCCCAGATTGTGGGAGGCAGTCAGACATCCCTAAAGGGCCCTGGATTGGAGAAGGTGAAGGCCGGGCTGAGAGACCCCTTGTCCCATGCATGAATTTTGTGCTCCTGGCTCCTACTAGATAATATTACTCCATATAAACACAAGGAAATTGACACGGAGAAAGTTTAACTAATTGAATGTAATTGGCATACCTTAAGCTTTTCAAGTAGGCTACCTTGTTCATTTACTACACCTAAATTTGGCATATCCTATCTAAGAAAGAGGGAATTTGCTAATTGACCCTCACACAGTCACAAAGGTGGCGTCCACACCCAGAAGGAGGAAATATGCTAATTGGCTGCCCCACCCTTAAAGATGGCAGTGCCCACAGCCAATAAGGAGGGAATATGCTAAGGGACTGTCCCACTCTCAAATATGGTGATGCCCACAGCCACAAGAAGTCAGAACCTAGTCCCCTCAGCCCCACCCAGTGGCAGGCACGTGGCAAGGCTGGGCCCAGCGTCCCCCAGGCCCCTCAGTCCACCAGCAGCCCAGGGCTGGCCCAAGGTGCAGACAAGCCTTGGATGGCAGCTGCCCAGCCGCCCAGGGGCCGCCTGAATTTCAGGTAACCAGGACCGGCTGAGGCTTGTGCTGCCAGCAGTGGCAGCATCAAAGGTGTAATGGGGACATTGCCTTCCCCTGATTGTCGGGTTGCCTCCTACCCGTGAGGGTTCCCAGACTAAGAGAGGGGGCAGGCCAGGCTGAGCCCCCACTCCAGTGCATGAATTTTCATGCACTGGGCCTCTAGTAAATCCATAAAGATCACAATTTGGCTTGGATCCAGCAAGGAAACATTGCCAGCATGGTTCAGAAAGTTCTAGGCTTTAAAAAAGTCTAATCACTCTCTCTCTTTCATTCTGCCACACAGGGCCATCCAGAGTAGAGATGTGGCTCAGTTCAGGAATGTCGTCACGCAACTGGAAGCTGACTTAGACATCACCAAAAGGCAGCTGGGGACCGAGCGCTTTGAAAGGTGAGTTGGTCTCTATGCAGCATTTAGGCTGGGAGCATTCTTTCTCAGATAACAACAGATTCTGGTTATTCCATGATGGCTAGGTTTTAAAGTGTGAATTGAACTTCAGTTTCACCACTGGATTAATAATGCCACTGAATACAAAATTCAAAAGTTCTATTTCAAACATTTTGCTTTAGGGATAGGGCTGTGCAAGAACTTCGCCGCCAGAATTACTCAAGTAATGTTTATCATTTGAGTTCTACACTAAAGCCAAATACAAAATGTCATTCACCGGAACGTGCTCTCCACCGATCTCCTGACCGAGGCCTGGATCGATCTCTAGAAGAGTGAGTGGTTTAAGGGTCCATTCTCTGGGGTCCATATAGCAGGATATACAGGAACTGTTTGAGGATGTAAGGAAACACAGTAACTGTCTGTCAAGAATAGTGCTATTGAAACATGATTAGTTATGTTCACATAAAAATGAAGTTTTTTTACTTAGTTTTATATAAATATTCTAAAGTGAAAGATCTCTATTTTATCTGATTACATAATTATATATTTTAAATCTGATTTTTTAATTTCTACATTAATTTGTATTAATTTTAATTGGTAAATTAATTTAATAAATTTAACTTTGATTAATAAAATATTGGTTCATTTTTATACCACCCTAAATGTGAACACTCTATGAAAGTAAAAAGTTAATATTAGAGGCAGAATTTTAGATACATTTCTATAAGTCACAAATTTGTAATAACATTTTTATTTGGAAATGATTTGAAATTTAAAATAAAATAATACAAAGGATATCTGTATACCATTTACCCATAATCTCTATTGTTAAAATCTTACCAAATTTGCTTTTTATGTGTTTGAGACAACGCATGTGCTGTCTCACGTACACTCTTGCACATGTTCCCTCTCTCTTTCTACATATACACATTTTTAAAAACAACAATAATTTAAATTCCAAACCATCCTCACCTTGCCTTCTTCCATTCTGTATTTGTAAGTCCGTTTTTCTACAGTGGGTACTCTATCTCATCAACACATTTACTCCATATAAGCATAGTTACTCCTTTGTTTAACCCCAGAATGCATAAAAAAAAAGTTTCGAAATTTCTCACCTATGCTATTACAATAAGCAGAGCAACATTTTTTAAAAGTTTGAGATCTAGCCCTGGCTAGTTACCCAATGGTTAGAGCATTGGCACAGAGACAGAAGGCTCACAGGTTTAATTTCCACTCAAGTGCATGTATCTTGGTTGCAGGCTTGATCCCTCGCCCCCACATGCAGAAGGCAACCAATAGATGTGTCTCTTTCATATTGATGTTTCTCTTTTCTTTCTCCCTCTCCCTCTTCTCTACTTTCTCTTAAAAAAATATATCCTGGGGTGAGCATGTAAAAAGTTCAAGATCTGTTTGCAACTCTTCCTTCCTATCCCCATATGTCTTATGGCCCAACTCTTCCAGGCATATAGTTAAATATTGTCTTAATAAATTACTCAATTACTTTTTCTCTTTCTCTGTAGTTATAGTACATATGTTTAAAATATCATTAGATTTATTTATTTCAGTTTGTTTTCATTTTTCCTCTTCTTATATTTTCCTTGATTTGATGTAATTTTTGAGTTTGTAGGTTGATATGCTTTCAAAAGTCAAGACTTTGCAAAAGTAACTCAAAGTGTCCCTCTCTCCTGTATGCTTTCTGTCCTGCCCTTCCAATGAGAAGGGTTTTTTCTGTGTTTTCATTTCATTTTTAATTTCTAGTTTTATTGCATTGGGGCCACTAATACATCTTATAAGGGCTTCAATTTCAAAAATATAAAGAATTTATATAACTCAGTACCTGATGGCCCCCAACTACCATCCCCAGCTGGCCTCATGGCCCCCAACTACTCTCCCCAGCTGATCTCATGGCCCCCAATTGCCCTCCTCTGCTGGCCTGAGAGCCCCTAGCCTCTGCCTCGCCCCCCACCACCGTGACTTTGTCTGGAAGGAAGTGGGATGTCTGAAAGATGTCCATTCTCCCTGTATAATTAGCATATTACCCTTTTATTAGTATAGATATGTTCTCCCATACAGAGGGCTCCCTTTCATTTTGTTGTTGATTTCTTTGCTATGCAGAAACTTTTTAATTTGATACAATCCCATTTGTTTATTGATTTACTAGAGGCCTGGTGCATGAAAATTTATACACTGGGGGTTCCTCAGCCAGCTGCACCATCTCAGAGTCCAGGAGCCCTCAGGGGATGTCCTACTGACAGCTTAGGCCCACTCCCCACCTTAGGCCTCCTTTTGCAGGAGGAGACTGTACTGATCAGGGAAAGGTGCTGCCCCCATCACACTGACACTGCTGCTGCTCCTGGCTTCCCTCTGTAGGAAGCAACCAGGCCAATCAGGGGAAGGCACTGCCTCCATCACCCTACTGCTGCTGCCACTGCCAGCTGCCGTGGCTGCCTGCCCTCTTTGGCCCTCATAGCCACTGTGGCTTTATCCGGAAGGATGTCCAAAAGACCTTGGTCTATCCAGTCTAATTAGCATATTACCCTTTTATTAGTATAGATTGATGAGAGCCATTATGAAGGTGTGAGGTGAAATTTCATTGTGGTCTTAATTTTCATTTCTCTGATGATTAGTGACATAGAGCATCTTTTTATGTCTATCGGCTATCTGAATGTCCTCTGAAGAAGTTTCTATTGAGATGTTTTGTCCATTTTTTAATTGGATTTTTTAATGGGTTGTCTGAGTGCCTTATAAATTTTGGATATTAATCCCTTATCAGCAGTATCATTGGTGAACATATTCTCTCATTCAGTGGGTTGACTTTTCACTTTGTTGATTATTTCCTTTGCTGTGTAAAAGCTTTTTAGTTTGATGTAGTCCCATTTGTTTATTTTTTCTTTTATTTCCCTTACCCAAGGAAATATGTCAAAAAATAAACAAACAAAAAACATTGCGATGAGAAATATTTCAGATTTTACTGCCTATGTTTTCTTCTAGGATTTTTATGGATTTTAGTCTTACACTTAAATCTTTATTCCATTTTGAGTTTATTCTTGTGCATGGTGTAAGAAGGTGGTGTAGTTTCATTTTATTTCATGTATCTGTTTAATTTTTGAACACTATTGAATAGATTGTCTCTATTCCATTCTATGTTCTTGCCTCTTTTGTCAAATATTAATTGACTATAAAGGCATGGCTTTACTTTAGGTTCTCTATTCTGCTTTTATGCCAGGACTATGCTGTTTCTATGTACTATGGCCTTGTAGTATAGTTAAATATTGGGTAGCATTATTCTTCCAACTTTGTTCTCTTTCTCAAGATTTATGATGCTATTTGGGATTTTTTTTTTTTTTTTTTTTTTTGCAGTTTCATGTTCATTTTTGGAATATTTGTTCTAGATTTGTGAAATATGCCATTGGCATCTTGGTAGGAATTGCCATAGTTTGCTTTCAGGGGTCCTTAAACTTTTTAAAATAGGGGCCAGATCACGGTCCCTCAGAGAGCTGGAGGGCCGGACTATATGAACTACTAATTCCTACTGTAACACCTTGGCTGCGCTCACTGCCCAAAAATCCTGGCGGGCCGGATCAGACTCCTCTGCGGGCCGCATGTGGCCCGTGGGCCGTAGTTTGAAGACGCCTGGATAGACATTTTAATGACATTAATTTTTATTATCCATGAACATGGTATATGCTTCTACTTTTTGTATCTTCTTCAGTTTCTTTCTTCATTTGCTTTTAATTTTCCATTATCATGTCTTTTAAATGTTTTGTTAAATTTACTAGTACATACATATTTTTTGATTAAATAGTAAATAATTTTTTTTTTTTTAGTTTCTCTTTCTGGTAGTTCATTATTGGTGTATGAAATGCAATTAATTTTTGGATATTTATTTTGTAGCCTGCTATTTTACTGAATTCGTTTATCAGTTCTAATAGTGTTTTGGTGGAATCTTAAGGGTTCTCTATGTACTGTATTACATCACCAGTAAAGAGTGGTCATTTTAATTTCCAATTTGAATACCTTTTTTTTTCTAGTCTGATTGATATTACTAGGACTTCCAATACAATGTTTAAAGATTTCTTAAACTGTCCTTATATAAAAAAATGATTTTGCTCTTTAAATTGGATATGTTCTGTTACCTTGTCTTCTAAATTGCTAATTTGCTTTTCAGCTTTATCCAATCTATTGTATATTCTTTCCCGTGTATTTTTCATTTCAGATATCAAATTGTTCATTTGCAACTGGTTATTTTTTATGGTTTCTACATTTTGTTGTTGATGTTTCAACGCTTGCTATTTCTTTGTTAAGTTATCACTAAGTTCCATGAACATCCTTATAACAATTTTTTTGAACTCTTCATCTAGTACAATGCTTGTTTCCATTTCATTTAGCTCTTTTTCTGGACATTTCTCTTGTTCTTTCATTTAGGTTTGTCTTTTTATCTCCCCATTTTGTCTGTCTCTTTGTATTTGTTTCTGTGTATTAGGTAGATCTGCTATGTCTCCCAATTTTGATAGGATAGTGTCCTGTGGAACTTAGTGGCACAGTCTCCTTGATCACCTGAGCTGGGTACTCCAGTAATATCTCCTGTGTATGTTATGTGAGCTCTTTTGTCATAATTGAGTGTTGAGTTTGCTATGGGCCTGTTTGTGTGTGTGCTTGATCCTCAAGCTTGCTGACTATGAGTATTGATCTTGACCACAGTGTATAAGCTGCTGTGCAGCTGCTGACCTCCTGAACCAGAATTTGCCTCAGCAGGATCTAATGCCTACTGAGAACAGCCTTTGGTTATGACACTTGTTAAGCTAATTGGATCCTGCTCTGATCTTGCCTGAATTTGGCCACTGAGTGTGTCTGTTCTGGTGCCTTTTGGGAGGTACACTGGTCAATATCAGACACTGTTTGTGACCTGCCCTGGACAACCTTTCTAGAGCTACAAAGCAATCCACAGTTTGTGACTAACTCTGCTGGGCCTTGTTGTGTGTGATGGATCCATACGTGCACCAAATCTGGCTTCCACCAATACTGAGCCTGAGGGCAGGTCAGCAGATGGCATAAGAGCCCAGAGATCCATCTCTGCCAGCCTTCACCTGCCAGCTGCTTATTAGGTTCAGTCATTAAAAGAGCCGCTAGGTAGGGGTGAGTGGTGTTCACCATATTGATATAGGTTGAAACTCATGCCAATGCTGGGTCTGAGGCCACTCAGCAAATGTCCCAGGTTATACCAAATCTAGCTACTCCCTGCCAGATGCCAATAGACCTTTGCAGTAGGTGGGGTGGTGTCTCAGGGAGTCATCAGCATGAGGATAGCAGATTTTATCCAGGCCAAACAGACCAAGATTTGGTCATTAAAGGAACGATTCTGGACCAGTTTGGAATGCAAGGGGGGTGGAAATGACCGTGTCCTAGAGCGACACAACACACAGTCTGTCCTAGATCCTGCCCAGACCTTCTCGGCAAGGTAGAGCTGCCTGGCATCATGGGAATGGGATCACCTGGAGTCTAGAGGGTAGGGCTAATGTATATGTTGTGAGAGGAGGCACTGGTCAATTTCATGGGAAAGTTGGGGGAATGGACCTGCCACAAAGCCACACAACTCAGTCCCTAAGTCAGCTCCTACATCTGCATCCTGGCCCAAAAAGATGACTTCTCAGAAGGGAATCCAGAGGATGGGGCTATTGTATACCCCAGACTGATGCCATAGGAGAGGAATCCTCCTCTGAGGAAAGATGGTGTCTGCAATGTGGAAGAGGGATTCAGCACAGAGATCCTGGTGGCTGTCCCGTCAGCTCTCTTCCCAGAGCCATACACCCCATTCTGTCCTCATGGAACTCTAGTCTGCTTTGCCCTCCCTTTATCAGTACTCAGGGTGAGTATCTGTGAACAAGATTTTATGTGTTGGCCCTTTAAGAGTGTACCTGGTCTGTTTCTTGTCCCTATAGTTTTGCCTTTTCCAGGATGTCATAGAAATGGAATCATATCATATGTAGCCTCTAGTGGCTAAATTTCACTCAACATAATATATTTCAGATTTTTCCAGGTAGTTATATGTATCAGATCTTTTTGAATATTCCTTTTACCCACCGAAAAGTATTCTACTGTACGGATCTACAAGTTTTATTTTCCTTTTTACTTAGAAAGAATTATGGACTTACCTGGAATTATAAAAATAGTTAAAAAGGGAGTTCCCCATATCCTTCCCTCGGCTTACAAAGTAATATCTTACAAACCAGGAATTTAACATTGGTAAAATATAGTTAATTTTATTTATTTATTTTTGAATATATTTTGATTTTGTATAAAGAGGAAGGGAGAGAGATAGAGAGTTAAAAACATCGATGGGAGAGAGTCATCGATCAGCTGCCTCTTGCCCTACTGGGGACATGCCCACAACCAAGGTACATGCCCTTGACTGGAATCAAACCTGGGACCTTTCAGTCCCCAAGCCGACGCTCTATCCATTGAGCCAAACCAGTTTCGGCAAAATATAGTTAATTTTAACTCACATTCAGTTTTCACTTGTTTTTTCATGTTTTTATTTATGTGTATTTATAGTTTTACACACCACCCATATTTCACCACCACAATCAAGACACCTACTTGTTCCATCAGCACCAAGGAACTCACTTTCTCATGATACCACTTTATAGTTAGTCAGAGAACACATATACTTTCCCCCAAGTAAATGTTAATTTCTGCTCTACCTCTATAATTCTGTCGTTTTGAGAATGTTATATAAATAGAATCACAAACACTATGTGACTTTTTGAAATTGACTTGTTTTTATTTAAGACATGTCCATGAGATCCATTCAAGTTGTATCTAATAATAGTTTATTCCTTTTTAATATTGAATATGATTCCAAGATATGGATGTATCACAGTTAGTAAACATTGAGCAAAAAAATATATTATATCTGTTTTTCTTCACAGAAGCTGGGGGAAAAATAGTATGTATTGCCAAAGTAATATTAGGATTTAATTTTGTACATGGTGAAATTGTGGAATTAAAAATGTTAACCTGCACAAATTTTTTTCTCTCTCTCATAGGAATCTTTGCTATAGAGATTTCTGATATGCGAAAAGATTCTTCACATCCTTGGGAAAGGTCAAAGTGTCAATCTGATTTTTTTGCTATATGATTGCATTTATCTTTTGAATCCTTGACAATCTTAAATGTATATATTAACTTTGTGCCTCTGAATCTCTGTTCTCATGTGCCATATTGCAGTGATCAGAGATGACTTACAAAAACAAAAATGCATGTGGCTCTTTCTACCCATACAGTAATAGTGAGTGTAAAACCCACTTACTTCACTATTGAACACTGTCCTGTTAACTCTCTGGTGTAAATAAAGCTTATAAAAAGAAGGAAAAGTGTTTTTTACAAAACTGATTTCCTTTCCTTTCTTGGTACCTCATATAATTGGATGGTTATTTTTCTTAGTTATTTATCCCTTCTTGGCTGGATAAGTTCTCCCAAAATAGGTACATTTTGCTCATACTGGCCTGGGTCCCAATATGCCACTTTGGACCCAGCCCGACTCAAATTCCAGGTCATAATCAGCAGATAGTAGGAGGGTGTCAGGATCTTAAATCCATAATATTGTACCACTGATTAACATACATTTCTGCAATTGTGTTTACCCATACTATTTTTAGAAAGGCAGGTGATGCTATATTTGTCAAGAATGTAAGATTTTTTAAATCTGTATTTTTAATAAGTTTTCTTTAAAACATTAAAGTACTGCAATCAACTTAATGGCCATTTTTATTTATTTTTTTAGTTTTTGCCTGTGGCAGGTGTTTATTATATATAGTAATAAATCCAGTGACTGTTCCTTATTTATTTCCACTAAAATTGCCTAAATCTCTTACCTTTTCTGTCCATTCATTTTGAATTAAGAGCCTAAATACTACTGCATTTTACTGACATTAGCTATTTGTATTCTTGCCATTTATTTAAACAATTATATCATTAATAGTATTTATAGAATATAGATAGTTTCTCACTGTATACAGTCACTATTCAGTATGACTACAGTAATACTGTACAGCAATACTGTTCAGTAATACAGTAGGATAGGGCCTTGATTTTTATCTTGTTTAATCATTAACACTGTGGTATTTTACCATAAGGCCATGCTACATATTTACTTTAGCTTGATTTTTAAAAACCTTGAGGTTTATTCATCTAGTTCAAGTTCTCATTACAGATTGGTTTAAAAATTGAATAATTTAAAATATGTCCTAGTATAAACATTTTAGATAATAATACACAAAGAGTTATTGGTAAAAGAAGTTGTTGGTGCTAATATTAAATAATGTATTAATAAATATGCAAATTTAACTTTTCTAGGTGATGCAATGACCTAAGCACTACGTCATTACAACATTAATTTTAATCTGTCCACCTCCTAGATTACTTGATAAGGAGCTGTCACCTGTCACTTGTACTTTACATGTTGTATGTGGAGGGCAGTATGTCAGGAAAAGGGCATGAGATAAATAAGAATGAAGTATGTAAGCAAATATTTCCATACTTGAATAAAAGTATACTATACTTGTGCCATTAATTACAGAATATTTAAAAGGAAAATTATTTGGTAAGTATAAAGGGGCCAATATTATCCAAAGGTATGGAAACCTCAACTTTATTCTATGTTAAAACTCAAAGAAAATATTTTTTCTTATAGTTATATTTAAGGACATTGATTATTTTAAATCAGATTCATGTCACATGACATAAATATATATTAGCCTATTGATAAGGTTGAGGTCACCTGATGCAATAAAATGCACAATAAAAAAACTATACCAAACATTATTTCTGTGATAACAAAGAAATCTGAAAAAGCTCTCAACTTTGAAATGCCATGTTTAATCCAAACATCCATTCTTACTGAAGAAAGGGTGTTTTGAAAGAGAATTGTTAACCCTCTGAGTTAAATATCTCACAGGCACTAAGTCTCAATACATCTAAACTATATTCAACAATGTGTCCTCTTGCAGTCTCTACCCTTGTTTCCCACATAGACACTATGTCAGATGCCTGAATCCTTAGCCCAGATGCCATTAGAAGTCACTCCCTTTCCTTCTCACTGAACAATTTAGTCAACCTACATGTCACTTCCTCCTACATATTGAACAAATTAAAGAAGATCTAAATAGTGGAAAGACATCCTGTGTTCATGGACTGGGAGCCAAATATTGTTAAGATGGCAATATTTCCCCAAGCCATCTTCAGATTAAATAGTTCTTTTTGAAATTCCAATGGAATCTATCTTTTCCCCACACACACACAGAAATAGAAAACCCAATCCTAATATTCATATGGAATTTTAAGAGATCCAAAATAGCTCAATCATGAGACGGAGAATAAAGTTGGTAGACCCACATTTCCCAATTTCAAAACTTACTGCTAAGCTACAGTTACTGAAATAGTGTAGTACTAATGCAAGGATAAACAAGGATCAATGGGATAGATTGAGAGTCCTGAAATAAACCTACTTCTATGGTCAGTTGATTTCAAGAAGGGTGCCTAGACCATTCATTCACTGGGGGTGCTGGGCCAATTGGAAAACCACATGCTAAAGAATGAAGCTGGACCCTTATCACACACAACTTATACAAAAATCAACTCAAAATGAAATATATATACCTACATTTAAGTGCTAAAACTATTAAACTATTCAAAGAAAACATACAGGCAAATCTTCATGACCTTGGATTTCATAATTGTTTCTTAAATATGACAGCTTCCAAGATAGATAAATTAGCCTTCATCAGAATTAAAAACCTGTGCATCAAAAGACACTACAAAGAGAGTGAATGAAGGACAACCAAATAATGGAAGAAAATATTTGCAAATCATATATCTGGTAATGGTGTAGTATCTAGAATATATAATTTTTATAACTCAACATTAAAAATGATTCATTTAAAAATGAGCAAAGGACTTGGGTAGACATTCTCCAAAGAGGATATACTAATGGTCAATAAGTACATGAAAAGATACCCAGTGTCATTAGTCATTGTGACAATTGAGATAAAAGTTATAACCTCTCACATAGTAAGATGGCTAGAATGGAAAATATGACAATAACAAGTATCAATAAGGATGTGGAGAAATTCATACATTGCTGGTGGAAATATGAAATGGTTTGGCCACTGTGGAAAAGTTGGGCAGTTCCTCAGTAAATTAAACAGAGTTAACATATGACCCAGCAATTCAACTCCGAGGTATGTACCCAAAAGAACTGAAAATGTGCCCAAACAACACTGTACACGAATGTCCATATTAGCTCTAATTTGAAACCACCCACCCAAATGTCCAACAATTGATGTTACATCCCTATGATGAAATATTATTCATTCATAACTGTGAATGAAGTACAGTATGGTTAGCCCTTGAAACATTGTGCTAAGTGAAAGTATCCAGACACAAAACCCAGTTTGTGATTCCATTCATTTGAAATATGCAAATAGGCAAATCCATAGAGGCAATGCAGATTAGTGGTTGCCAGGGACAATGGGGGCGGGGGGCTGCTTAGTGGGCACAGGGTTTCTAATTGGGTGATGAGTAAGTCCTGGAACTGTGTAGTGGGAATAGTTGTGCTGCATTGTGCTACTGAGCTGCACAATTTCAAATAGTTAATAAAATGTTAAATTTTGTTATTTTACCACAATTTATGAAAAAGTCATTTTCTCAAAATTTCTCTGACTCCTAGCATTGGTCTGACTGGGTCAAGTTCTCCTGCAAAAAGTATCTAGTATTTCTCCTTTGAAGGACTTACCAGAGTTGTAATTGATTATTTGTGTAATTATTTATCTATTATCTGTCTCCTTCTTTACTATAACATCCATCAGGGTAAGGGATCATATCTGTCTTCATTGTATCTCCTAGGGTATAGCACATGCTTGGTACATACTAGGTTTTCTGTATATACTATGGAACAAGTAAAGCAGGGGTGAGCAACCTTTTTTCTGCCAAGGGACATTTAGGTATTTATAACATCATTCATGGGCCATACAAAATTATCAACTTAAAAATTAGCCTGCTGTATTTGGTGAACCATTTAATTAACTCACCCCTACGGCCTTGGGAGGTCTTTCCTGACCAAATTATTTCTTGGGCCTTGTAGATATTTCCAACCCTGAAATGAAGGAACAAATTTCCCCCAATTCTTAACTATTATAGTATCTCCTAAATATCTCTGAAATAATCTACTTTCCTCTATTCTCACTTTAATCCAGACCATAGTAACATCTTAATCTAAAATGATGTGACAGTCTCCTATTCGCTCTCTCGGTCTAATTCATTCTCCACACTGTAATCAAAGAAGTAGTTTTAAACACTAATACAATCACATCTATCTCCACACATGTACCCTGTGAGTATGAAATTTACATTAGACTAAAGTCCAAACTCTTTATTTAGGCCTGGTGCACGAAAATGATGCTTTGGTGTGTGTGTGGGGGGGGGGGGGGGGGGTCCCTCAGCCCTGCCTCCACCCTCTTGCAGTCTGGGACCCCTTGGGGGATGTCTGCCTGCCAGCTTAGGTCCGCTTTGCCCCCCCCCCCCCCACCACCACCACACACACCCCAGGGAACGGGCCTAAGCCAGCAGGCAGACATCCCTCGCACAATCCCGGGCTCTCGCAGTTCAGTACCCCTCGCTCCTTACCACTCCCCTGCAGCGGAGGCGGGAGAGGCTCCCACTACGGCCCATGGCTGCTGCGCTCACCAACATGAGCCCAGCTTCCGGCTGAGTGGTGCTCCTCCTATGGAAGCACACTGACCACCGGGGGCAACTCCTGCATTGAGTGTCTGCCACCTGGTGGTCAGTGCGCATCACGGCAACCGGTCATTGTGACATTCAGTCAATTTATATATTAGGGTTTTATTATATAGGATTGCTTTCATCTCTCTGATTTGGTTCTTTATTTTTTTAATCTTTTCAGCCTCATACTGCTCCCTACCCACTTTACAAATATATATTATATTTATTCTGAATTGCATTTGATACCTGGAATAGTTTATTTTCTTGCATCTCTTGACCTTTACATATGCTCTTTCCTCTGCCTGGACCACTCATTTTTCTCTCCCAGTCTCCCTTCCAGCCTGGAAAAGTCTTGTTTGGCTAACCATTGCATCATCAGCACCTAGCACAGTGCCTGCCACATGGTATGTGCTTAATAAATTTTTGCATTTTTTTTAAAATTAAAGTCTTTTTATTTCTTGTCTAATTTCTATATATTCTTCTATTTGTTATAACTTATCCTGTGTGCTTCATTTCATTCTTATTGTATGGTCTTGTTTGTGAATCATACCTGTTAGGCAATGAACTCCATGAAAGATTGCTTATTTTTAATGGTACAGACAATACCAGACTCATGATGGCTTCCAGCTGATATATTTTCACTGAACAGGTATACAGTATAGGTGGTTAAGAGCATAGGCTCTAGACACCCATTGCTTGACTTTACATCATGTCTTTATACTTCCTAACCGTGTACTTGATTAAGTTAGCACTTAAGCTTTCTCTACATTATTTTCCTCATCTGTTAAAGGTATATATATATATATATATATATATATATATATATATATATATCTCCAACTTAAAATAGTATGTGGGTTATGCTCTGGTTTCTCTTCAGATCGTATAAATCTTTCACCTTTTACTAAAATAGTATGTGGATTAATCGAGATAATATACCTATAATACTTAGTCTTTGTATAGTGTCAGGTATAGAGTAG